TGAATCCTCTGCTGCTCTTTAGAGGAGAGTGTTTTCTGCCTTTCCTGCACTCCTGCAGTGGGCCCGGGAAGTGTCCTGCCCCTTTTCCAGGAACATAGTTTTGTTTTGTTTTGTTTTGTTTTTTAACAGAGTTTCACTCTGTTGCCCAGGCTGGAATGTGTAGCACAGTGTCGGTTCACTGTAACCTCCACCTCCCAAGTCCCAGCGATTCTCCTGCCCCAGCTTTCCGAGTAGCTGGGATTACAGGCACGTACCATCACAACTGGCTAATTTTTGTATTTTTAGTAGAGACAGAGTTTCACTATGTTTGCCAGGCTGGTCTTGAACTCCTGAACTCAGGTGATCCACCTGCCTCGGCCTCCCAAAGTGCTGGGATTGCAGGCGTGAGCCACCACGCTCTGCCGTAAAGTGTGTTTTTACCCTTCCTTAGCCACTGTGGGTGTTGACAGATCACCTGGGGCCACAGGGCTCAGCCCTTGCTGCTGTTAGCCCATAGGCTTGGCCTCTTATTCCTCAGGGGAGAGGGGATTCCTGCTTTTCAGCTGCAGGGCTGCCCGCCTCTGTGCTGGCACCTGCACCCCTGGTGTCCTGCCTTATCCTGGGCTAGTCTTTCTCTTGAGCTGCCGATGGGTCCACGGAGAAGGGCTTGTGAGTGGATGTGGCTGTAGGTGGCTGAATTATTCTTGCCTGCCTGTGTGGCCCCCGGGGTCCCCGTCCTTTCTCTGCTATGGAGGCCAGTGCTCCCATCCTCTCTCCCGAGACTCTGTCTTTCTTTAGGTTTTAGGCTACTCCCTGGCCCTGATGCTTCAGGTGTCGGATGAGTCTAAGTTTTGTGGCCTTTTCTCATCGTTCGGTTAGGGCAGCACTCCTTCCAGCTCCCTCCGTCACAGGCAGAAGGGGAAGTCTCCGAGCCAGTGTAAACTGCCTAGTTATGAGTCAGCTAGAACACTCTTTTCATATGTTTCAGCACCAGTTTTACATCCTGTGTGTGTCAGTTTTCTGTTTGTGTCTTTTGCCCGTTTCGAGCTCTGTATGTTAAGGGTGACCCTAACCCTCTGTCTCTGGCGTGTCTCGCCCGTGTTTTCTCTCTGCTTGCCTGTTGTCTTCTGTTTTGCTTAGGGTGTTTTTTTTTTTTTTTTCCATGCAGAAGTTTATAGTATCTTGATTTTGAGTCTTACTTGGGAAACTTTTCCCTGCATAGAGGTTAAAGAGGAATTCTTTTTTTTGTACTTGCTTTCATTGTTTTATCTTTTTTATATTGACTGCCATGATCCATTTGGAGTGTATTCTTTTTATTATGTGAGGTATGAACCCATTTTTTTTCCCAAATGGCTGAGCAGATGTCTCAGCACCGTTAATGAAAAAGTCCTTTGATTTGTGATGCCGCATTCATCATATACTAAATTTCCATATGTACGTGGGCCTATTTTTAGACTTTCTTCCTTATCCGTTGGTCTATTTATATTTTCATGCACAGTTTTAATTTTAGAGGCTTTCTTGCATTTTTATAATAGCAATGCAATTCACATATCCCAAAGTTCACCCTTTTGAAGTGTACAATTCAGTGAATTTTTGTCTATTTACAGTGTTGTACATTCATTACTATCAAATGCCAGAATATTTCCATCACTGTGAAAAGAAAGCCCACATATATTAGCAGTCACTCCCCAGGTCCCCTCACCCCACCCCGCACCCATCTATCTGCTTTCTCTTTCTGCGGGTTTGTGTCTCAGGGACCGTGCGTGAAAGTGGAATCACACATGTGGTCTTTTGTGTCTGGCTTCTTTCACCTAGCACAGTGCTTTCAAGATCCATCCCTATTGTAGTGTGCGTGTATCAGGACTTCATTCTCCAGGATTTTAAAAGTCCGCAAGGGCGAGCCCTTTTTATTGAGTATTTTCTCAGTTCTTCTTATGTCTTTGTTTTCCTATACGAACTGCCCTGCCAACTCGTCTAGCTCCGTAAAAACGCGTGTTAGTGTTTTTATTGCGACAGGGAAGCTGACATCTTTATGATACAGTCATCCCATTCAAGAACAAGGGAAGTCTTTCTATTTGATCAGTTCTAGTTTTGTGAACTTTGACATACTTTAAGGCCCCTTGTAGAGGTTTTTCCCATTTCATGTTAAATTTGTTCCTAGGTATTCTATATTCTTTGTTGCTTTGTCAATGGGTTTTTTCCTACCATGATAGCCTCAGACTGATTTCTGTATGTGTGAAGGCTGTGGATTTCTGGATGTTAATTTTATATCCTGATTCTTTACCAAGTCTTTTGTTGTTCAGATTTTAACATTGTTTTGCTAGGGTTTTCCAAGTATACTGTCATATCATTTACAAGGAGAGGGAATTTTGTTTCATTTCTGGTTTTTTTTTTTTTTTTAATTTAAATGTCTTGCTGATCTCCTGTTTAACTGCATTGGCTGACAGCGTCGGAACAGTGGGGAGCAGGACTAGAGGCAGCCGGCACCTTCGTTTTCTTCTTGCCCTTTGGGAATGGCTCCTCGTGCTTTTTTGTTACTAAATAAGATCCTCGTTTAGGATGAAAGGCTCTTTATTTTATTCTTCTAAGACAGCCTCTTGTGTTTTCACCAGGAGTGAGTGTTGAACTCTGTTGATGCTGTTTTGAATCTGTAGAGAAGCTCACCAGCTTCTCCCCTCAGGTTAACATGGTGCAGACACTGATGAGCCTCCTCACGTTGAGCTAGCCTTGCATTCCAGGGAAAAGCAAGCAGAGGGGGTTTTGGATGTTACTGATCAGTGTTTCATTTAGTGTTTTTGCATCATTGTTTATAACATATTCATTTATAAGTTTTTCATTTTCCTGTTTTCAGGGGAGGTTTATTAGGTTTTGGTGGCATGGTTATACAAGCTTCATAAAAGCAAGCAAATGTCCAGTGCCCTGGGCCAGTTGGTGGCACCTTGGAAATGTTTGGCCATATTCCTCTGCAAAACCATGAGCTGCTGCAGCTGCGCAGTATTGAGCGCTCCTGTCGGTGAACATGGTGGTCCCCTCACTCATTTATATGTTCTTAATTTCTCTTATGTTAACGTGTCCCTCATTTGGTTTATTGTTTCTTTCGCTCTCTGTCTCTCTCTCTCTCTCTCTCTCTCTCTCTCTGTGTGTGTGTGTGTGTGTGTGTGCGCGCGCGCACGCCTGTGTGGTTTTTCTTAGGACTACTTGGTAGTGAGTTGCAGACGTGATGCCCCTTGATCCCCAAATACACAACGTGCGTAGCTGCTGCACGGTGATCAAGATCGGGGCATTGACGTGGATACAGTAGCCTTGTCCATTCTAAAGGGTGCGTTCCTGTCCTGGGACAGACCTTGTGAACTGCGTTCTTTTTAGAAAAATGTTCTTGTTAGTAGCATGAGATCCCGGGTCATGTGCTTGTCTCTTTAGCCTCCTTTTCTTTAGAATGGCCCTGCAGTCTGTCCCTGATGACACAGCCATTTTTGAAGGTTGCTGGTGAGTTCTTCTCCTTGGTTTGGGTGTTTCTGAGGTTTCTCAGTCATCCACTTTGGGCAGGAAGACCACAGAAGTGACATCGTGCTGCTTCTCTGTGTCGTGTCAGGGGGGTACGTGGCTCTGGTTTGTCCCAGGGCTGGCGATGCTGGCTGAGATCATTTGACTAAGGCGATGCCTACCAGCCTTCTCTTATGTAAAGTTATTTGCTTACATTTTCAATTTATAAGCATCTCAGGGAAGATCCTTTGAGATTATGTAAATATCCTGTTATTCATCAAACTTTTACCCACTAGCTTTAACATCTGTTGGGTATTCTTACCAGAATGAATGATCGTTGTGATGGCCGCTGGTTCCACCATTCCTTCTGCAGTTGTCAACTGGCTTTCTACTCTGAAGAAGAGCTCTTCTTGTTTTTTGTTTTGTTTTTTTAAAATTTATTCATCTATAGCAGTGTGGGCTCATGGATTTTTATTTTATTCAGTGAGTTATGCAATTCTTATCATTATTTATTTGCAGACTCAGATTGTCCAGACTTGGCCAGGGCCAGCCTTTGCACGCTGGTCCTCGCGTCGTTCTGAGATGCCCCCACCTTTATTCCAGCACTTTCTCTTTTGCAGGACAGCATGCTCCATGCTCCAGACTCTCATCTTTTACTTTCCGGGCTGTAGCCCTGGAATCAGCCATTTCTCTAAGGCATCCTAACGTCTCTGACTTCCGTTCAGTGAAGCCTGGTATTTAGGAGGCAAGAGCTCTGTGCTGGGCGTGCCCGGTGCTATGGGGGTGTGTAGTGTCTCAGCTCTCTCAGTGGACAGAGCTAGGGAGTAGCTGTCTGTCATGTCCACACTCAGCTATGTAGATGAGTGTGCCTGTGTGATTATATATACCCACACACATCTATATCTGTATTTCTCTGTGCATCTTAAAAACTATGAATTCATGCCGACTCTTCCAAGTTCTAATGGAGTACCACTGTTCGGTGAGTGAGTGCGGGAGTGCTTAGCGTGGGGGGGTGGGATGGTGAGGATGTGCTCCTCTTCCTCTGTAGCTCATGGTACAGCGGGCAGAGCTGAGACCTTAGTGCCGGCGCAGGGAGGGCGTCGAGTGGGAGCTGGGGCAGGGGAAGGCATGGCAGCTGTGGGGAGCTAGGTTCCTTATTGCAGATCCGCTCTGTCCCTGTGACCTTGATCAATGATTTCCCCTCCCCGGTTTTGTTTTCTCATTTTAAAAATTGGGGTTTCGCCGGGCGCGGTGGCTCACGCCTGTAATCCCAGCACTTTGGGAGGCCGAGGCGGGTGGATCACGAGGTCAAGAGATCGAGACCATCCTGGTCAACATGGTGAAACCCCGTCTCTACTAAAAATACAAAAAATTAGCTGGGCATGGTGGTGCGTGCCTGTAATCCCAGCTACTCAGGAGGCTGAGGCAGGAGAATTGCCTGAACCCAGGAGGTGGAGGTTGCGGTGAGCCGAGATCGAGCCATTGCACTCCAGCCTGGGTAACAAGAGCGAAACTCCGTCTCAAAAAAAAAAAAAAATTGGGGTTTCAATTAGATGAGAGAATTCCTGGTACAGGTGACTCTTCTTCCTCACCTGGAGCTGTGCTGCCTGTCATCCTCCATCGTACCCTGTGACTCCTGGACAGGTCCTTCCCATCTCCATGTGAGACTGCAGTCTCGTGAGCAGGTGTGAAGACACGGGGCACTGCCTGCCAGGCAGCCCCGTCTTTGCCCTGAGATCTCTGGGTCAGTTGGCTTCAGAGCACCCTGAGGGCATATTTATGGGCGGGTGCCATTTTTGTGGATTCCGTGGGCAGGGGGCATCCGTTGCAGCTTGAAGGTTCCTGTGGGGACTGGCACGTGGTGTGCCTGGCCCTCGGGGTGGGTGGCAGCCTGGGCAGCTCAGTATTCCCTGGCAACACCGTCATTAGGCTGTGTTTCCTTGTTCCTGCAGGGACCAGTGGACCAAGAGGCCACCTTGAAGGGGCTCTGGCAGCTGCTGTTTGGGGGCTGGTGAGAAGCCTGGGGTGGCCTAGGGAATGGGTGCAGGAGAGCCAGGCTCATGGGGCTGGGGAGGGGCACAAGGCCCCTGTGCACCCTGAATGGAGCTTTAACCCCCACCTCTTGTCCCTCTCCTCCCTGGTTCCCACCAAAAGGGCCACGTCTCCCCAGGCCACCTCCACTGGTGATGGATCTGTACAACATTTTCTTACCGAGGGCGGGCCAGCAGCCTCTGCACTGAGCTGGAGGAACCAGGAACAGGACCCAGAGGCTCCCTGCCTCCTTACCAGGCCCTGCTGTTTCCTCTGGGCGGTGTGGTCTTGGGCTGGCTCTCCCTGCAGGGCCAGCCCTGGCAGATACCAGCACACAGGGAGCTGCGGGCCCTTACACAGCCACAGGGGACATGGCAGCAAGGTCCTCTTCCTTGCTGGTAGCTTGAATGCTGGCCTCTTTGAGCACAGCATGGTGGTTGTGGGCTTCTGGGGGACCAGGAACCCTTCCAGATGTCTGTGTGTTATGGTGGGGCCAGGGACCAGAGGGGCCAGGGACTTGGAAGTGGGGCTTTGAGCTCCTGCCTGGGACCTAAGAGCGGCTCACATATTTCATCTCACTGGTCTTCATCCCACCCTCTGAGTTTCCCTTCGTGGTCCGATTTTACAGATGAGGAAACAGATTCAAGGGCCAGGACTTGCTGGGACACAGCAGGCCAGTGGTTGAGCTGGGACTTTGCCGGGCCTTCTGCTCCTGGGACTGTGTTGTGGTGTGAATGTCCAAAGCTCATTGAAATCCAGTCATCATTGTATTAAGAGGCTCTCGCCACCCCCAGCGTCCTCCATCTTGGACTGCTTGGTCCCCAGAGCCATGAGCCAAGGAAATCTCTTCTTTATAAACCCCCCTCTGTGTGGAGTTCCATTACAACAGCAGAAAGGGGACTCAGGCTGTGTTCTCTGCTTTACACCGAATGCTTTGAGGGATTGTCCAAAGAAGTCTAAAGAGGCCGAGTGTGTCCAGGGCAGGCAGGTGACCCACTGTTGTCAACATGGGTCTGTTGAGGGCGAATAAGGGAGTCGGCTGATTCACGGTGAGGACAGCGCCAGCAGCAAACCCTGAGGCCACAGCTCCTCGGGGTCCTGGTGCTGACTTTTCCTGGGACTGCCCCTTCCCGTACTGCTCTTGATTCCTGCCTGCGGAGAGGCTGTGTTAGGGGCGTGGTGGAAGCTGGGCGCCCAGCGGGGGGCTGCAGCGTGGGCCCCCACGGAGGTTCCTGTGGGCATGCGCTCTGCACAGCGGGCGCCCCTGCTGCAGGCGATGGGGTGCCTCGTCCTCACTCACTTTCTCCTCTTGAACTTTGCAGTTTCATTTTGCCGTAGAAAATGGTTTTCCCCACAGGGCAGGCTTTGGGGAGCAGAGATGTGTGTTGCGGGGTGCGGCCTGTCTCTCCTGTGCTGGGGCGTGGCCGAGGTCTCTCAGTGGTCTGCAGTGGGCAGTGGGGGCTGGCTGCTGGCCTGGGCCTGTGCTCCCTGTTTGCGGCGCCCCCGACCCGGTTGTGAACTGACAGTGCCTCTGTCTTTTCCAGCCGGCGGTGGAGGTGGTCTGAGGCTCAGTTAGGGAGTGTGAAAGCAGCATGCAGCCACTGTGCAAGGGCAAGTCCGAGCCTCCGCTCCCCCTGAGCAGGTTCAGCCCCACCCCTGTCACTGCGTTGTTCCCGAAGAGCCCACTCATGAGCAGCCCACCTGGGGCCAGAGCCTGCCCCAGGACTCACTCCCCTGCACTGGGTCCGCAGGTGGGCACTGTGGAGGCCACAGGTCGCCCGTGCCCTGGCCCCTGGTCCGGGTGTGTGCCCTGGCTCCCGGGAGGCAGCGCCGCTTCCTGCCATCACCTCTGGGGCTGTGTGTCCCCGTGGGCGGCTCAGCCCTGCCTCGCCGGAGGAGCCTGTTCCTGCATCTGCGTCCTCTAGCCCCAGCCCTCAGGGGCCTCCTGTGCCCTAACTGACTGGGCGCGTCCAGCCAGCCATGCCAGTCGTTTCCTCCCCCACGGAGCGAGCATGGTGCTGCATTCCTGCCCTTCCCTATCCGGAGCTCAGAGTCCCTGAGAGCAGGTCAGACCTGTCCAGAGCTGCTGTGTCCCCACCACGGTGCCTGGGTCAGAGGTCACAGAATGCGCGTCCAAAGCTGAGGGAAGGGCTGCTGTGTGTTTACAGGTGAGGAAGCCCCCAGCGGCAGAGCTGATGTGCCGTGTGTGCGGCCCACCCATGTGCGACCGCTCTCTATCCAGGCCGAGGGGCCCAGCCTGGGGACCCTGTTCCCATCTGCCTGGGTGTTCTCCGCCTGTGTGGGGCCCAGCCCCCTGCTTCAGAGGCCCTGTCCGGGAGCCTGACTGAAGGGCTTGAGACCCACGCACTGGACCCACAGCCTAGGAGTTGGGGGCCCAGCCCCAGAGTTGGGACTGGGAGCCTGGCAGGCAGTTGGTGTGGCCTGCTGCCTGGCCTCCCCTCCTCCTGGGCCTGGACGCTTTGTCCTGGGGGCAGGCTGAGTTGCCGGGGTGGTGGCACGCCTGACTGAGGTGGGTGTTCCCTGGCACCCCCACTTCCCCTGGCGCCCTGCAAACGGGATCTGGGCAGTGCAAGGACAGATGGCTCCCTTCAGGCTGGCAGGGGCCGGGGGCCCTGGGGAAAGCTGGCGCCAGCCTGAGGGGCACGAGGCCGGAGGGGCCATGGCTGGCCTTGGCGGGCACGGAAGCGGCTCGGTAGGAAGCCTCCTCGGGAGCCAGCGGGTCATTGTCCCTGACCTCCGTCCGGCCTCATTCAGGCAGCCCTGGGACTTGGGCCATTCTTGGGCAAAACAGCCTGTCAGCTTCTGCCCACCCCTCCGGCCTGGCCTGGCTGCCAGCTTCCGCCCAACTGGGCCTCGAGTGGCTTCTGTGGCCATCGTCCAGCCCCCCAGGTGCATCTGGCGCAGGCATTGCCCTCTCTGCCCTTGCCACGCTCCCCCGAGGGGCTCCATGTCCTCCTCATGCCTCGTCTCTGTCCTCTGCCACATCCCCTCCTGGCCATGCCCCTGGCTACCCAGCCCTCCCTCCTCTGAGCGCTGGCCCTGACTGGGTTCCCTTGCCCAGTGCAGTTCCTGATGCTGGCCTGCCTTCTCCTGGAGGCCTTGGGGGGTGCCCCCGTGTCCTGGACTCAGCAGAGCGCTTTGGTTGGGAAGGCCTGGCTCCCTCTGGCTGTGCTCAGGCCTCCGAGGCTGCGCCCCACAGTGCCCGGCTGCCTTCCTGGCTCCTGCGCCACAGCCCGTCCCTGCCCCCAGCTCACTTCTGGGGGAATCTTGTGGTGTTCGGGTGAAGTCCCACCAAGTGAGCCAGCATGCCTGGGCACTGACCCGTCCTCCTGGCAGGGCAGCCAGGGCAGCCGTGCCAGCCGTGGTTGGCAGTGTGCTCCTGCTGGAACAGGAGTGGCATGCTGCGCCCAGGGGGTCTGACGCCTTCTGGGGTGTTCCATGCCCTGCACTGGTGGCTGGCTGACCCCAGACCTTAGTATCCTCCTCCTGTTTGGGGTTATAACCCCTGTCTCACTGTGTCGGGACGATCAGTACTGCTTACACGGGTGAGGCCCCTGGCCAGGCCTGCCTAGCAGATGCAGGTGAGACAGGTGGTCTCCGGGTGGCCTGGGGCCAGTCACATTCTCTCCTGGGGATTTCCCCAGCTCCCCGAAGAACAGAATGCATGAGAGCACCTCCTCATGGACTTGTGTGGCGTCCAGTGATGTGGGCAATGCCGAGCTCCCAAGGACACCGGCTCAGCACGTGGACTTCTTGTTCTTTGCCCCCTCAGTGAAGGGTGGGCCGATCCTGTGGGGATCCTTGGTTGGGGGCAGGAGACAGGGTTTCTGATTTGGCCTGCTGGGACATGCTGCGTCAGGGCAGGGCTGGGGTGACGACGCACTGGACTGGGCCAGCACCGGGTGAGGGCGGCTCCAGCAGGCGTGCAGCCCCCCCAGGGCAGGCACAGGTGGGGTTCAACGTCTTACGGAGCATGGCGCTGCTTGGCCTCGTGTGTGGTCAGCATCGGGCTCAGAGGTCGGGTGTGGGCAAGAAGGTCAGGATGGGAGCCCCTGGCTGGCCTGGTAGGACGCTGGGTTGAGAAGTGGGGCGTGAGCTGGCTGCAGGGTGGAGGAGCAGGAGCAGCATGGGGAAGCTGAGGCACAGCCTGTGCGAAGGCAAGGAGGTGGGAGGCAGCATGGGTGCGCCAGGCAGAGGCCCCAGAGAGCGAGGCATGGGGCGGGGGTACAGCAAGAGCTGAGGCTGGGGCAAGACAGGGCCCGGCGCGCAGAGACCTTGGGTGCCCGTGTGGGCATGGGGCCACTGTGGCTGGGGCAGGCCGGGGGTTGAGGTGGACACTGGAGGGCAGTGGAAACGTGGGGTACCTGGGGGATTGGGGTTGGTACAGCTCAGTGCCCTGTGGCCCCGTGTGGTCTCCCAGCCATGGGAAGTTTGCACCCACTGGATTCCAGGTGTCCCCAGGGGCCCAGAGTGGCTGGCTGGGTGGGCCCGTGAGTAGGCTGAAGATGTGCACTGCCGTTTTGTGTTCCCAGACCAGCCTCCTCTGCCTGCGGTGACTCGGTGGCCCTGCCTGAGGTTGGCCTTCTTCTCTGAGTCTGCTGAACAAACGGGTGTGTCATGCTCCTGTGTGTGGCGAAATGAGATCGCGAGTCCGCTCAGGTGGTCTCCTTGACGGCGGTGGGGCTGCTGAGTCTTCAATCTCCTCCGCGTGCCCGGCCAGAGCAGAGGGGAGTTGGGCAGCCTTCCTGTCCTCCCAGGGGCCCCAGCTTTGTCTCAGCTGAGCTCTTTCAGACTTGAATCCCTTCCCTCCTCCCGTGAGTTCTCCTGCCTCTCCTGGGCCCTCGTCAAGCTTCCTGTGCTCCCTGTCTTGAAACCCTGAGACCCCACTGCTCCCTGCAGTGATGGCTGGTGGCTGCTCCCTCCTCTCGTGGGGGCTCTGCCGTGGCAGAGTGGCAGATGTGGCCTCTGGCTAACATCACCCCAGCTTGCCCCATCTCCCGTGTTGTCTGCGGGGCCCTCTTCTCTGCGTGGTGGCTCCTCTCCCTGAGTGGTCTCATCCTTACACCTGTTCCTGCGCAGTGGACTCTCCTTCTGCGTCCAGCCCTACCTCCAGGGCTTGGGGTGTCTGCCAGCCTGTAGGAGGCCCTCTGGGCTCATCCCTGCACACGGCTCCCCTCCCTTTCTGGTATGAGGAAGTCAGAGCACAGTCTGCTTGCCTTCTGGGCCAGAACTTGGGACTTGTCCTTGACTCTGTCGGGGTTCCATGCCAGCCCCTCCCTCCCTCCCTCCCTGGGTCCTGGCTCTGCCACCGTCTGCTCACTGCCCTGCCAGCCCCGCACATGTCCCCAGCAGCCTGCTGTCCATCCTGAAGCAGAGGGAGCCCCCCAAACACAAGTCGCGTCAGGCCTGGCTGACCCCCTCAGTGCCTCACCGTCATTCTAGGGGATGGCAAGTAGTGCCCTGTGCTCAGGGTCCCTTGAGCCGCTTCCCTGGGACTGGTGGACCCCGACCTGGGGTTCTAGCGCCCCTCCCAAGTTCTCTGAAAGCCTCTGCAGGAACCCTCGCCCTGGACAGTTAGTGCTGGCTCCTCCATGGAAGTTCACGTCCTGTGGCCAGAACAGGCCTGCCTGCTGGCACGGTGGCACTGGGGCATGAGGGGTGTGTCTGTAGAACTGGTCCGTGTCCGGCATCAGCTGTACCTCCCTGGGCCACGTGGGACAAAGGTAGGTGCTCTGGGGCCACCACCCAGGGATCTGAGGAGAGCCCTGGGTGCCCACCTGGCTCTTGTCTGCTGAAGGCACAACCCCCCGGCAGCCCTCCTCTTGGTTTCCAGACACGTCTTTCTAGATGATGTTTCATTGCAGTTTTACAAATGCAGCTTTAATACTTTAAGATTGTACGTGCATGTAGTTTAGAGAGTGAGTTACATGAGTTGTGCAAAGTTAATTAAGAAAAACAGTCATCCCCAGCCACTCTCCATCCCCCTCCCCAGAGTCCACAGTGTCTGCATCTTCTAGTAGATTCTTTTGATATGTTTCTCTTTTTTAAATAATAGGCCTGTATTGCTTCTGGATTTTTTAAATGTTTAGGCATTATTTTTTGACTTGCAAGGTGAGGATTCAAGTCTCTCTGCACACACAAGTACCTGCTCTCTCACAGGTACACACAAGCACACACACACCCATGCAGGCACCCCCCCCACATATGTACACACATTCATGCACATGCACAAATGTATGCACGCACACATGCATACATGCACACACATGCACGTACACACATGCATGCACACACATGTATACATGTATGCATGTACACACTAACACATGCACACATGTATACATGCATGTGCACGCACACGTGCATGCACATGTACACACTAACACATGCACACATGTGCATACATGCATGCACACACATACACACATGCAGGCATGTATTTATACACTCACGCACACATATGCATATGCATGCACAGGTATATGCACACATGTACATACTCACACATGCATGCACACACATGCCCACACATGTATGCACATATGCATGCACACACTTCCTGCCTCCCCCTCCTGGTGTAGCTACAGTGTTGTCACCCTCTCAGGTGCGCTGCTAGGATCAGCCTAGTCATCGGAAACCGGGATGATTTTCCGTCTCTGCCCAACCTTTTGTTTTCCCTGGAATTTGTGACTGCCTTTGTTTGCCTGATGTTTTTTGTTCTTCTCAGGAGCCTAGCCTGAAGCTATCCTCTAGCTCTCTTGGTCTCACGTTCCTTCACATTAGCGGTTCAGCCTTCATCTTCTTGAGGAAGTCTCTCTAGAACGTTCTGCCAGAGCATTGTCAGCAGGTTGCCCTCCTTGCCTGGACACAGCTTTTGCCCTGGGTGCTCTTCAGCTTCCTCTGGTTGCAGGCAGTCTAGACCTTCCTCCCTCCTCAGATGGTTCCTGGTTTTTGGCAGAGCTCACCCTTGAGTACTTCCCCTGAGAAAGCATGCATGGAGGGGCGGTCTGGGGGCCCCCAGGTGTCAGAAATGGCCTCCTTGGTCCTCACACCGGTTCTCCTCCCAGCACTGGAGCTGTGGGGTCTCCTGGTCACCGTGGGTTCTGATGCTGGATGTGGGACTTGGTTGCCTGTCCAGGTGCCCTGAGGTCTCACGGGGCGTGAGGAGCCCCTATCCAGTTTGAATGAGCTCCGGCCTGGGATCGGTGTGAATGCTGTTCCTGCTGCTTCTCTTCCCCTGGCTTTCCTGCCCTTTCTGGAATCCCCTCACTCGGACGGAGAGGTGCCTGTGCAGGGCTGGTCACTTCCTCTGCCCGCCCCCACCCCCGCATGTCATCATGCTCTGGTTTCTGGAGGCCCCCGCTTGGCCTGCCCCTTCTCTGGAGCCCTTTGCTGCTGCTCCCCATGTTGGCTTCTTGGTGCGCCTCTGTGTTCTCTGAAAGCCCCTTTCTTGGCGTTCTGTTCCTGTCCTGGGGCTGTTAATGCAGCCTTTGTTATCTGGGCTCGTTCCTTTGAGGGCAGTAAAGAGAACACGGGTGCAGGAACCAGATGCCTGGGTCTGAAACCACCTCCACCACTTACCAGCTGGGTGGCCTTGGGCAAGTGACCTCACCTCTCTGTGCCTCAGTTTCCTCAGCTTCAAGATAAGGATCATTGTGGCCCCAAGCTTAGAGGCTTGTGGGGATGAGCTGTGTGTGGAGCAAAGCACCTTCGTGACTGTCAGCACATGCCAAGCGTGAAGGGAGCGCTGGCTGCTGTGCTGTTACGTGTTGAAGGCTCCTCTCCGCCCGAGACCGTAGGGCAGTGTCGCGTCCCCCGGAGGGGTTTCGTTTTGGAAAATGCAGCCGTCTTTGACAAAAATGTCATCTGTGTTCACAGGAATGGCTTAGATATTTCAAAACGAACTCTTACTATTTTCAGAAGGCTCCGTTTGAGTTTTCAGTGCGGTCGATGTTGGCAGGTACAATCCGCAGCAATCAGAGCTGTTTGGGTCCCGGACTGTTCTGAGTGGGGCAGTGGGGCCCACTGGCTCAATGGTGTGCTGCTGCCACCCTGCTCTGGCGGGGCTGGATGGGACAGCCGGTCGTCTTGCTGGGAGGGAACGTGGGGCCACGTGCCTCCCCCAGCCCCAGGGACTTGGGCTGCACTCAGTGGGCGCGAGGCTCACTTTGCTCTTAAACCTGCCTCCCTGCTTCAGGTGTTTGTGTGGGTGGAGTCCGCGCCACCCACAGCGTTTAGAACTGAGTGTGGCCTGGCTGGCGGGCTCCATAGTGACAGCATTAGGGTATAGGCCGGTCAGAAGCCATCCGCACAGGGACCCCGCACACAGGGACCCCGCACACAGGGACCCCGCACACAGGGAGGACACGCTGGCAATGTCTGAGCAGGAGTGCTGCCTTCTGTCCTCTGGTCACTTGTTCTGAGTCCCTGGAGCTGCAGCCCGCAGAAGGAGAGGTTTGGGCAGGATGCCCAGCTCCCCAGGCCAGGGATAGCTCGTGCCATGCCCAGGATGGCGCCAGTGCCATGACTTATGTGTTGGGCGCTTACTGTTCGCCAGCCCTAATGTGTGTCCAGTCACCTCTCACAGCAGCCGAAGACACGGGTCCTCTTCTTCCCCTACCTCAGAGATGAAGAAACTGAGGCCCAGAGAGGCCCCATGGCATGTGCCCAGCTGCGCAGGTTGGATTGAGCCAAGGCAGAGCCACCTGGGCCTGACCCAGCCCCACTACTGTGGGGTGCGGCTAAGGATGACGGAGCCGGAGATGCTGGCAGGCTGTGGGAGGGCCATGTTCTCAGCCCAGCCCGGGCCTGGCTCACATGCGGCGGATGCCATCCTGCCTGCGTGTCGGGGCACAGTGGGGGCCCGGTGCTCCCAGAAGCCAGCTGGGAGGCTGGCGGGGGGGTGGTTGGTTTTTAAGAGCCCGTCAGAGGGCTCTCCTTGCTGGGGGTCCCTGTTGGGAGGGGTTGGGGCACGCCTTCTTCAGGTTGTTTCTGTGTTCCTATAGGGACCAGTGGACCAAGAGGTCACCTTGAAGGGGCTCTGTGGGGGCTGCCGTTTGGGGGCTGGTGGGAAGCCTAGGGAGTGCGTGCAGTGGAGCCAGCCTCCTGGGGCTGGGGCGGGCCGGAGGTCGCTGTGTACCCTGACCTGGAGCTTTCATCCCTGTTTCTTCTCCCTCTCCCCCTGGTTTTCCTGTTTCCTCCAGCTTGGCACGGAGGCTGCTGGCCCTGACGTCTGTAACAAGATGTCATATGGATCCATCACCGGTGGAGGTGGCCTGGGGAGCCGTGGCCCTTTCGGGGGACCCTCAAGACAAGGCTGTCAGCCCCTAGGTAATGATGTAGCTGGCAGTGGGGGTGGGGGGGTGGCAGTGGGTAGGGTCCTCACTGTGTCATGCTGATGGCTGTAACCAGTTCTGTTCTTTTGAGAAAAGTTGCCTTTGTCCTAAGATGGGGAGTGATTGCGGGGCTCAGGCGATTCAGGCCCCTGGAAAGGAGCAGGAGGAGCTTGTGCCCCACCTGCAGGCAGACCTGGGTGTCCCAGTTCATGCTGGGCATGGAGCTGGTGCTCAGAGCACCAGGCTGCTGGCAGGTGGAGAATGGCTGAGGCGAGGGAGGACTCACCTGACCTTCCTAATGGTGGTGTGGGACAGGCATTCTGTGCAGAGGGGGAAACAGGCCCCGGGGCTGCTAACCTCACCCCAGGGCTATGTAGCCGGTGCAGGGCAAAGCTGGCGTCTGTTTCTAGATATTTCAGAGTACCGAGCCCCTGCTCTTCCCCTTCACCTCGTCCACTGCTGCCCTGCAGGTTGGCCCCACTTTGGTCCTCATGGCACCTGAATGCCACAGTTGCCCCCGCTCTCCCCTCTGCCGTCAGTGTGGCCCGCAGATCTGGCCCTTCACAAGGGCAGGCCCATTAGTGAGTCAGGACAGCCGCCATGAGGACTGTCTGGGCGCAGGAAGAGGACCGCATTGGGGCTCCAGCTCTTTGCTCATGTCTGTCCTCCCAGGGCCGGGCCTCGGGCTCAGCCAGCTGTGTAGCAGGGCCTTCCTCCACCTGGGGCCCTTCTCTGCTGGGCTGTGAGTCCTCTCCCTCGTAGCTCTGCTTGGCTCTTGGCTGGGGCTGGTCCCCAGGGCAGCCTGTTCAGGGAATGAGGCTGGGTGAAGGGCCCTCGCTGGCTCCTTTGCGGCCCCCAGGACCCTGAGTTTGTCTCCCCACCAGCCCTGCAGAGAGAGAGCAGCCTGTGCTCAAGAGGGCTCCTGGTGCCCGCCTCAGCCCTGCTGGGATAGGATGGCAGCCGGGGGGACATGGGGGCAGATGGCTATTGTTGACATCACCAAGTGCCCTCTCCTCATCTTGCCATCACCACTTAGCGCCTCGAAGGCCAGGTCCTCCAGATGCCCCCATCCTTCCTGCCCGCTGTGAGTGCTGCCCCGCCCTGGTCTCCTCCCGCCTCTGCCTCCCTTTTCTCCTTCCTGCCTGGACCATTGATCCAGTGTCTGCTGTGTGCCAGGAGGTATTCTGGGGGTCGGGCGGGAGGCAGAGAGACAAGTGAGTCCTGTGCCCTTAGGGGGTGTGTGTTCTCACTGGGGTGGTTCTGAGATCCTCTTTCTTGTGTGTTAGGGAGGAAATGACCCAGGTTCTTGGACTGCTGGCCCTGAGTGGTGGGCTCCATGAACTAAGGAGGTGAGGGAGGGCCCTCGGGGAGGGCCTGCTTAGTGAAGAGGAGAGGAGGACCCTGGAGGAGGCAGGCCCGGGATGAATGAGAGGGTCCTGGGGGATGGGCTGGCGTGGATGGAGGTTCCTTCCATGGGCCAAGGGAGCCTCCGTGGCCTTAAGCAGGGCACCGTGTCAGCTGCTTGATCTTTTTATGTTTAAAAATATGTTCTGAGGCATGCTAGGCAGACAGGAGACTTCGTGTGTGTGCGTGTGTGCGTGTGTGTGCGTATGTGTGCACGTGTGTGTGCGCGTGAGTGTGTGCATGTGTGTGTGTGTGTGTGTGCATGTGTGTGTGCATGTTCACGTGCACACGTGTGCGTGGGGTGCAGATACAGGTTCAGATCTCACAGTTTTGAGGTGGTGAGCCTGACCCCCAGGGCCCTGCGCCTCCCCCGGCCTCTTTCCTCCTTGCCCTGAACTGTCGCATTTGCTGTTTCTTGGTCATTTTCTTGTGCGTCTGAATGTCCCTGTGAGCCGCGTGCTGCTGAGCTGTGCAGGTTTCACTTCCCTGGCTCGGATGATGTGTGTTGCTCTGCGGTGTGCTGCTTTTCCACGCCGTGTTGTGAGCGCCTCCACGTGTGCGCGGCTGTGGCTCCTTTGATTCCCGCGCTGCACCACGTTGGTGGCTCTGTGAGCACCCCACGGCGTCTGCGCCTGTTCCGTGTCTCAGGGGCACGGAGGCTGGCTCCCGTGTTGTCTCTCACAGCCTGTGCCCGTGCCAGGGCCTCCGCAGGCCATGGGGTAGCGTTCCTGGGCCGGACCACTTGCAGCTGAGTCGACCAGGCCCCGTCAGAGCCCTCCTCGTCCCACATGCTTGTCAGCACCCAGGGGTGTTGGACAGCGACGTCTTGCCGAACTGGTGGGTGTGGCTTGTCCTCTGCTCGGAATGGATGTTTCTCTGATAATGAATGGGATGGATCACCTTTTCATGTTTTTGGGCATTTGAGTCTTCCTGCCAGTGAGCCTGTTTTTCCCTTGGGTTTGTCTTGTGCTTATGGGTTTGCGGCGTTCCCTCCTGTGTTCTGGAGAGGAAAGCCTCATCAGTGGGTTCAAACAGCCCGATCCGGGCCGGGTGGCTTCCCCTGGGATGTGTGCGGCAAAGCAGTTCCTAGCCAGGTTGGCCTTGGGTTTATCCATCACTCCCTCAGGGCTCGCACTTTCTGTCACAAGGTGATAATGCTGTCATCTTTCACTTCTCTCTGAAGATTGAACCCTTTGTTTTTGATGTTTAATTGACCCGTGATTTTTGTTTATGGTGTGAGGTGGGATGACGGTGGAGGGGAAGCTCTAAAGTTGCTTCTTTCTGTTTGAAGAAAAAATTGTGTGAACTGTTTAATCTGCCATTCTTCTGCAGACCTGCAGTGACAGCTCTGTGATAGTTAAAGTTTCCATTTGGGTTCTCTGGTCAAGTTTGCTATTCCTGTGCCAAAATCCACCTTCATTTCTATAGCTTTACTATAACTCTCAGTATTTTTTAGAACAAATTGCCCCTCTTTTTTTTCTACAGAGGTGTGTTGGATGTGTTTGACCGTTTGATGTTGAGCATGAGGTTTAGGATGACCTGTCGCACCCTGGAGTTTGGGGTTGCCTGGCGTCCCCTGTGTCCGCGTGGGAGCAGTGACTTCTTTATTGTTCTGAGCCTTCCAGTCCATGAGCAAGCACCCATGTCTGTATATTTATGAAGTTTTCTTTAACGTCTTTCAATGACGTCTTATAACTTTCTCTGTTGAAGATCTTCCATATCTTTTAAATTCATTTCAACAAAGTAAAAACTTTTTTTTTCCTGCTGTTGTAAGTGGTACCATTCTGAATATGACATTTTCCAAGTGCTTCTTGCTGGTGTGTGCACACAATTGGCTTTTTTAGTCGAGCCATTGTGGAAGACAGTGTGGCGAGTCCTCAAGGATCTAGAACTAGAAATACCATTTGACCCAGCAATCCCATTCCTGGGTATATGTCCAAAGGGTTATAAATCATTCTGTTATAAAGACACATGCACACCTGTGTTTATTGTGGCACCGTTCACAATAGCAAAGACTTGGAACCAACACAAATGCCCATCAGTGATAGACTGGATAAAGAAAATGTGTCACATGTACGCCATGGAATACTATACAGCCATAAAAAGGATGGGATCATGTCCTTTGCAGGAACGTGGATGAAACTGGAAATCATTCTAGTGAACTAACACAAGAACAGAAACCCAAACACCGCATGCTCTCACTCATAAGTAGGAGGGGAACATCATACACTGGGGCCTGTGGTGGGGGGGCTATAGGTGGGATAGCATTAGGAGAAATACCTAATAAAGAAAATGTGGCACACATACACCGTGGAATAGTATGCAGCCGTAAAAACGGTGAGTTCATGCCCTTTTTTATGGGGGACATGGTTGAAGCTAGAAGCCACCATTCTCAGCAAACTGACACAAGAACAGAAAACCAAACACCGCATGTTCTCACTCATAAGTGGGTTTTGAACAATGAGAACACATGGACACAGGGAGGGGAACATCACACACCAGGGTCTGTTGGGGGGTGGGGGGCTAGTGGAGGGATAGCGGGGGGTGGGGGGATAGGGGAGGGATAACATTAGGAGAAACACCTAATGTGTGTGATGGGTGATGGATGCAGCCAACCACCACGGCACGTGCGTACCTGTGTAACGAGCCTGCACGTGCTGCCCGTGTACCCAAGAACTTACAGCACAATAATAATAAAAAAGAAAGTTCAGACATTTTATTTAATTTTTGAATGTTTTCTGTTTTAATTTTCTAAATGTGGAAACTTTTAAACACACCAAAGCAGGCACAGTCACGTCGCAGCCCCTGGTGTCCCTTGGCTCCCCCCCAGCTGCTCGTGGCCAGTCTGGTCGCACGTGTGCCCACGCTGCCCCCGCCGTGTCATTCTGGAGTAAATCCCAGATAGCAGATCATGTCATCTGGTGATATTTCAGCGTGTCTCTGAAAGAGAAGAGCTCCTTTTATGCATGACCAGATTTCCACCGTGACAGCTCATTTTGGTCACTGTACCCGCTGTGCAGTGAAGTGGCCGCCAGCCTCTGGGAGTATCTATTTCAGAGACGCTGTTTAACCCGGAGCCTCCTGAGACCCCGTGCTGCGGTTGAGCTGCGCCCTTCCTTGGAGAGACCCCATGTTGGCCTGTGCTCCTCCTGCGGCTGACCCGTGCCCCTCCCGCGGCTCACCCGTGTTCCGGAGGCTGACCTGTGCTCCTCCTGAGGCTGTTCCTGTGCTCCTCCCGTGGCTGACCCGTGCTCCTCCCGCGGCTGACTCGTGCTCCTCCTGTGGCTGACTCGTGCTCCTCCCGCGGCTGACCCGTGCTCTGGAGGCTGACCCGTGCTCCTCCTGCAGCTGACCCGTGTTCCTCCCATGGCTGACCCATGCCCCTCCCGCGGCTGATCTGTGCTCCTCCCACGGCTGACCGGTGCTCCCGCCACAGCTGACCCGTGCTTCTCCTGTTGCTGACCCATGCTCCGGAGGCTGACCTGTGCTCCTCCCGAGGCTGACCCATGTTCCTCCCGCGGCTGACCCGTGCTCCTCCCGCAGCTGACCCGTGCTCCTCCTGTCACTGACCCATGCTCCGGAGGCTGACCC